AAGGGTACAGTTCAACAAGAAGACATAACAATCCTAAATATATATGCACCCAACCTTGGTGCACCCAGATTCATAAAGAAAACTCTACTTGATCTAAACAAATGGATAAACAGCAACACCATAATAGTTGGAGACTTTAACACCCCACTGACAGCGCAGGACAGATTCTCCAAACAGGAAATCAACAAAGAAATAATGGACTTAAACAGAACTCTAGAACAAATGGGCCTGACTGACATTTACAGGACATTCCACCCCAAAACCACTGAGTATATGTTCTTCTCATCAGCTCTTGGGTCATTCTCTAAGATTGACCATATCCTAGGACACAAAGCATGTCTCAAACAATTTAAAAAAATAGAAATTATAGCATGTATCTTTTCAGACCACAATGGAATAAATGCAGAAATCAATCCAAACAGGAGTCCTAATTTCTACACAAGGCCATGGAAACTAAACAACCTTCTGATGGATGATCACTTCATAAACAAGGAAACCAAGATGAAAATCAGAAGATTCTTTGAACTAAACGACAAAGGTGACACAAGTTACCAAAACCTGTGGGACACAGCTAAAGCACCCCTGAGAGGAAAGTTTATTTCAATAAATGCCTATATCCAAAAGTGGAAAAGATCACAAATAGACAACCTAATGAATCGTCTCAAAGAGCTTGAAAAAGAAGAACAGACCAACCCCAAACCCAGCAGAAGAAGTGAAATCATTAAGATCAAATCAGAACTAAATAAAATTGACAACAGGGAAACTATACGGAAGATTAATAAAAAAAAAAGTTGGTTCCTTGAAAAAATAAAAAAATTGACACACCCTTGACTAGACTAATGAAAAGCAGAAAAGAAAAATCTCTAATAAGCTCCATCAGGAACAATAAAGGAGAAATTACAACTCATGCCACAGAGATATAAGATATAATTTATGAATAAATACAAAAACCTCTATGCACACAAACTGGAAAATGTAGAGGAATTGGACAAATTTCTAGAAACACGCAGCCTCCCTAGGCTCAACCAGGAAGAAATAGAATTCCTGAACAGACCAATATCAAGTACTGAAATTGAAACAGCAATAAAAACCTTCCTAAAAAGAAAAGTCCTGGACCAGATGATTTCACACCCGAATTTTACCACACTTACAAAGAAGAACTGGAGCCTATCCTGCAGAAATTATTCCACAACATCGAGAAGGATGGAATTCTCCCCAACACATTTTATGAAGCGAACATAACCCTGATACCAAAACCAGGAAAGGATGCAACAAAAAAAGGAAACTACAGACCAATATGCATTATGAATATAGATGCAAAAATTCTCAACAAAATCCTAGCCAATTGAATCTAGGTGCTTGTCAAGAAAATAATCCAACACAACCAAGTGGGCTTCATCCCAGGGATACAGGGATGGTTCAACATATGCAAATCTATAAATGTAATTCACCATATAAACAGAAGCAAAAACAAAGACCATATGATCCTCTCAATAGACTCAGAAAAGGCATTTTACAAAATTCAACACCCTTTTATGATAAGAACGCTCAACAAAATAGGCATAGACGGGGCTTACCTAGAAATGATACAAAGCATATATGACAAACCCACAGCCTATATCATAATGAATGGGGAAAAATTGAAAGCATTCCCGCTTAGAACTGGAAAAAGATAAGGTTGTCCACTATGTCCACTTCTGTTCAACATAGTGTTGGAAGTCTTCGCTATAGCAATCAGACAAGAGAGTGGAATTAAGGACGTCCAAATGGGAGCAGAAAAGGTCAAACACTCACCCTTTGCTGATGACATGATATTTTACCTAGAAAACCCCAAGGATTCATCCATGAGACTCTTTGATCTGATAAATGAAATTGGTAAAGTCTCAGGATACAAAATCAATATACAGAAATCAGAGGCATTCATATATGCCAACAATAGTAAAAGTGAGAACCAAATCCAAGACTCAATTCCCTTCAAAATAGCAACAAACAAAATAAAGTACCTTGGAAAATATTTAAGTAGGGAGGTAAAAGACCTCTAGAGGGAGAACTATGAAACACTGAGGAAGGATATAGCAGAGGACATAAACAGATGGAAGAATTTATCATGCTCAGGGGTTGGCAGAATCAACATTGTTAAAATGTCTATACTACCCAAAGTGACCTACAGAGTCAATGCAATCCCTATCAAAATACCATCATCGTTTTTCGCATATATAGAAAAAATAATTTTACACTTCATATGGAACCAGAGAAGACCCCGTATAGCAAAATCAATCCTAGGCAACAAAAACAAAATAGGAGGTATCAATTTACCAGACTTCAAACTAGACTACAAGGCTATAGTCATTAAAGCAGCTTGGCACAGGCACAAGAACAAGGACATTGACCAGTGGAACAGAACAGAGAACCCAGATATAAAACCATCCTCATATAGCCAACTAATCTTCGACAAAGCAGACAAAACCATACAATGGGGAAAAACAATCCTTATTCAATAAATGGTGCTGGGGAAACTGGATAGCCACATGTAGAAGACTGAAACAAGACCCACACCTTTCACCTCTCACAAAAATCAACTCATGCTGGGTAATAAACTTGAACCTTAGGTGTGAAACTATTAGAATTCTTGAGGATAACGTTGGAAACATTCTTGTAGACACTGGCCTAGGCAAAGAATTTATGAAGAAGACCCCAAAGGCAATCACAACAGGAACAAAAATAAACAAATGGGACCAAATCAAATCAAAAAGCTTCTGCACAGCCAAAGAAACTGTCAAGAGAGCAAACAGACAACCCACAGAATGGGAGAAAAATTTGCAAGCTACACATCTGATAAAGGGCTGATAACTACAATCTATTTAGAACTCAGGAAAATCAGCAAGAAAAAAATCAAACAACCCTATCAAAAAATGGGCAAAGGACATGAACAGAAACTTCTCAAAAGAAGACAGAATAATGACCAACAAATATATGAAAAAATGTTCAACATCTCTAATCATCAGGGAAATGCAAATCAAAACCACAATGAGGTATCACTTAACTCCAGTGAGAATGGCCTTTATCATAAAGTCCCCAAACAACAAATGCTGGTGTGGATGCAGAGGAACACTCCTACACTGCTGGTTGGACTGAAAACTAGTCCAACCTGTGTGGAAAGCAATATGGTGATACCTCAAAGCGATAAAAGTAGATCTACCATTTAATCCAGCAATTCCACTACTGGGCATCTACTCAAAAGATCAAAAGTCACTTTATGAAAAAGACACCTGCACTCGAATGTTTATAGCAGCGCAATTCCCAATTGCAAAGCTGTGGAAACAACCCAAATGCCCATCAATTCATGAGTGGATTAATAAAATGTGGTATATGTATACCGTGGAGTACTACTCAGATTTAAGAAACAATGGTGAAATAGCACCTCTTATATATTCTTGGACAGAGCTGGAACCCATTCTACTAAGTGAAGTATCTCAAGAATGGAAAAACCAGCACCACATGTACTCACCAGCAAATTGGTGTTAACGGATCAACACCTAAGTGGACACATAGGAACAACATTTATTGGGTGTCGGGAAGATGGGGTGAGGAGGGAATGGGTATATACAACCATGACGAGTAAGATGTGCAACGTTTGGGGGATGGACACACTTGAAGCTCCTACTTGAGGGGGTGGGGGCATGGGTAATATATGTAACCTTAACACTTGTACCCCCTAATATGCTAAAATACAAAAATATAAAAAGAAGTAAGTAAATAAATAAAAATAAAATAAAATAAATTGCATATCCTGGCAATTATCTGTAAGCAAATATTTACATATATATATATAAATATATTTTATATCCTTGAGACAGGTACTGAGTTATGTAATTGAAAAATTGCATGTGGTATTATATTTCCCTCCTCTCCTTATGTTAGAATTTGTGAGTTGTTTGTTTACATTATTGTATTCTATCACTTTAGCATATTTTTCAAATATTTACCTTAACTCCATATAATTTTCCTGAGTGAAGATACGGACTCCTATTCAGAATTTATTCACCCAGCTCTGTCTTGTGCATCACGTCCCCTGGGTGCCTCTAATTGCATACATAGCCAAGTGAAGCTGTCCTTGAACCTTCTCTGAGTCTTCCTGACTCTCCACAATATACTCTAATATCTGGCTACTTCACCCTAGTTAATAATCCCTAATAAATAGCAGTGATGATTAAAGCAGTAACAGTCCAGCTCTCCAGTCCTCCCTCCAATCACCAGTTCTGTCATTTGCCAAGTTCTGCATCTTCTACCTGCTTACCATTTTTCATATCTCATTACGCTAACTCACTCTCTGACTTATAATATCGGAGTATTCTCTTCTGGTTACCCCACCACCCCACTGTCGTTAAGTTCATTTATCTTTACATTGCTGCCTGGGTGACCTTTTTAAACTATATTTGTGAAGATCTAAGTCATCTCCTCATTTAGAGGATCACCATTGCCTGAGGACACAGGTCATGTTCTAGGAAGGCACATGTTTGGTGTGGTTCTCACAGATCCTCCCGTTTTCACTCTCCATCCTGGTTCCGTTAGCTGTTTTGCCGTTTTACCACATCATTTTGCTTCCCCTATTTGCCATCCTGCATGTCTAGAAATTCTTCACACCTTCTGTGTGTACTTTGTCTGCCTTTCAATATCCAGTCCTATCTTTGTAACATTTTTGGAGTTTCCCAGTGAGAATGGACTGTTCTCTCCTCGTGCCCTTACTGTACTTTATGCAGTTTATTTGTACACCTGATGACTTATCCCTTTCTCTACTTATTTGTTTCCATACATCTAATCTCCTGCTTGAATATTGGGAGGAATCTGCCTTGGATTTATATGTTGTGCTTTGTCCCACAATAGTGCCCATGATTTGGCTGACACAGTAAATGTTTATTGTCTGACTGAGAGAGTGGATCAATGAGTAAATAAATACAATGTGTTCTGAAGTGGGATTTTTTTCCTTTTTTTTTTTACAGGAGGAGATAGCAAAGCCAGCAACTGCAGAAAAGGAAAATGGTATTGGTGTTATTGAAAATGCTCCACGAGAGCAAAAAAATAATATCAATTTTACTGTAATGCACGAAAATAGCACAATTGGTAAGTTAGCGAATATCATTGAAAGTTTCCCACACCTAAATGCTGTTACAAAGACACCAGTTAAAGTATGTGGATCCAAATGTAACAACCATTTCTTTTAAATATTATTCTTTTGCTGTTTTCCTTCATAGTACCTATTTTTGTTCTTTAAACTCCATCAAAGCTGAAACAATTTTTTGTTATTTTTATTTCATTGATATAAAAATGAATGGCAAGAAACTTGTACATGTATTTCGAATACACAGTGAAACGTATTCTCATGAATGACATTTTACAGATAAGAGGTGCTTGTTAGGATCTGGACCAAAGGAAGATGAAGAATCACCTTGGGATTCGGATGATGAGGTACTGTGTCCTGGTGCTGTTGTTCCACTGTTAAAACCTCAGCACTGAGTGATGTTAAATGCTAAAGAGGGGTGTTCTGACTTTTTAATTCTTGCCTCCGCATATGCGTATGAGGAATTATTGTCTTAGGAATTTAAGCTCGCAGTTAAGAAAATAATTCTGTGCTAAGTATATGTCAGCTGCCTAGTATAATTCTGCTAGTTTGCAGCATACATTTAAGAAGGCAGTACACTGTAGTGCAAAATGTGAGGCTTAGAGGGGACAAGGACTCAGTTGGGGCTCTGAAGTATGTTGATCCACAACCTAAAGAATCATTCCGGTTGAACCCATAGCCCAGTGTAAGACTGTATGGTACATGTGGATTTGGGAAAGGCCTAATGAGAGGTACCGAGAGAGAAAGAGTTGGAGTATAATTATTTTCCAACATGGAACTTCAAAAGATAATGCCTGAAAGGTGAAGATTTTAATGTTTGGATTGTCAAGTAAAGATGTTCAAGGAACAGTACAGGAGAAGGAAGTGTATTTGGAATAAGAAATATGTAGGACTATGGATGTAGTTGGTTTGGTGATATTTTGATGGGTAGAATTCATTTTCAAAAATAGAATGCATTGAATATATTTGTGGCTGCCATGCTTTTACAAGGGTAAGTATCAAATAATGAGAATGTATAGTAAGGGCACAACTGTGGAAAGAGATGGGAAGGGCTGGACCTCTTCCATAGAAACAGCTGTTTCACAGTGGTACCGGGACTGAGTGGATGTCAGATGATATGTCAGTATCCTTGTTATGTCACTTACTGTAGTAGTCATGGAATCTGTAGGAATTGCCAGGGCTCTGTCAGCCTTGATGGTCAGGGGAGGGGAGAGGGAGGAAGAGAAGGTAGAGGAGAAGAGTATAAAAGGATGAGATCTGTCATTCTTCAACCCTGAGTCCCAATGGTTTCTGACATGCTGTGCAGTCCTCTCACCTGTAGGCATCCTGCACAGAATGTGGCAGCTGTAGGATCCCTTAGTTTCCCTTGGACTCACTGTTCCCCTGTGACTGCTGTAGTCTGAGTGGGTTGGGCAGAATGTTTGTGTCCATTCCAGTGAAATGAAAACTAAAGGGCCGAATCTCCCTGGGCAGGACAAAGGCACTCAATTCAATCAAAAGCAGTACAGTGGCTGCCAAGTGGGGTCTGTGCTGTGGTGAGGGAGAAGGACCTTCAGAGTGCCATCAGCCTTGGTCTCTGTGCTAGAGAAGCTCTCATTCCCTGAGAGCAGCAGCGCTTATTGTCCTGAGGGTAGAGGAGCTGTCTGACAGTTTGGGAGCCTGCAGACTGCCAGCAGTGTGAGGGGAGGAATAGCTAACCTCCCCACCTTACCATTCCATGAGGCTCCCAGTTCCTCTGGGGACTCTCGCTTCCAGAATCTTGTTCCTTCTTGTTCTGCCCTGCGATATCTTCCCATGGGATATGTGGTGGGTTCCGGCACTCTTTCCCCAGAATTACACCTGGGGTGTGCCTTGTTATCCAAAACTTTCTGCTCTTTCTCCCAGGATCCAGTGCCCAATGTCTCCAGTCAGCCATTCTGCCTGTATCCCCTCTATGCTGTTTCTAGTGAGGGTTTCTAAAGGTATCTTTAATAGATGACACCATCACGAGCCACACAGGACTGTTTAGAATTCTGTTTACTCATTTTTCCTCAAGGCTGAAATTGATGGAACACTTTTGTTTTCATTTTTCTTTCTCCACACAGGTAGTGGTAGGTGACCATGTTTCACTACTTGAATGTGTCATTTTATAGGAGTAAAACTAAAGTCTATGGAAGTGGAGACAAAAAGTAACTGTGGAGTTGAAGACAGCATTATTACAGATGTGCTATGAACACAAATATCTGTCATATGTCTTACTGTTCTGAATGTCTTTTCTTTCTTGATTTATATCATAAACCATAGACTGGGAATGTCTCTTCTTTTGTTTGAGTGTTTGTCCATACTCCCTCACCTTGTGAAATGGTTTTACTTCCACCTATATTTTTCTTGTAGAAGACATTTCTTCAGTGTCTCTCCTTTCATTCCCTCTCTGTCTCCATATTTAGTTACAGCTTTCTATTTAGTAGCTATGTGTGCCTTTTATCCATCCATCATTGCCCAATAGTGATTATTCCTGTTTCTTTCTTTCTTTCTTTCTTTCTAAAGCTTTGAGTGGATACAATCATGTGTTTTTAGCTTTTTGACAAACACAAGAGAAGCAACTTTAAGTATTTGCAAGGTCCACCCTTTTTCATAAGTTATTAATGCAGACTATACGTCCCTTTTTCCCAGACAAGGAATAATTCATAGAAATATAAATACTCTGAACACATTGCAAAATATAACACATAATTAACGTAAGTTCCCTAATGTTACTTATTTCAAGAATGCTGTAAACTACCTGGGAAAATATTTGTCCTAGGTTATTCTTGTTATGAAAAGAATCTAATGGATATCATAATGTTTGCATAATAATGAACTAGCAATAAGGGGAGTGATGTTTTGAAGATGTCTGTATGAGCTCTCCTAATCCTTTCCCCCTGAGAAGATGTAGGTCTGTAAATCAGAGAATTGAGGGGTGAGTAAAACCTGTATCATAGATCATGTAAGGTGATATCTCTTTAAGGCTAGTGAGATTTTTTAATCAATTATTAAGTTTTGACTCTTCTGTTTCTTGCTTTCGGTTTCTAACTTAACATTGGGCCTGTCCATAACTTACCTAGGTCATTTATCTTATTGTTTGATATAATCTTGGCAGCTGTTTTAGTTCTTTTGGAAAATAAGGAGAGAGAAATAAATAAGCCTTCCATTGGATCTATTTTTTTTAAATTTTTTTTATTTCAGCATATTATGAGGGTACAGATTTTAAGGTTTCAATAATGCCCATTTCCCCCTCCCTCCCACAAGTCTGAGTCTCCAGCATGACCATCCCCAGATGGTGCACATCTCACTCATTATATATGTATATACCCACCCCCTCCCCCCTGCCAATACCTATTACTGCAGTACCTTTGACCACTTAGGTGCTGTTCAGTTAATACCAATTTGCTGGTGAGTATATGTGGTGCTTGTTTTTCCATTCTTGGGAAACTTCACTTAATAGTACGGGTTCCAGCTCTAACGAGGAAAATATAAGATGTGCTATATCACCATTGTTTCTTAGAGCTGAATAGTACTCCATGGTATACATATACCACATTTTATTAATCCATTCTTGATTGATGGCACTTGGGCTGTTTCCACAGCCTTGCCATTATGAATTGTGCTGCTATAAATATTCGAGTGCAGGTGTCTTTTTGTAGAGTGTCATTGGATCTTTTGGGTAGATGCCAGCAATGGGATTGCTGGATCAAATGGTAGATTCACTTGTATCGCTTTAAGGTATCTCCATATGCTTCCACAGAGGTTGAACTAATTTGCAGTCCCACAAGCAGTGTAGATATAGAATTTTTTATTTCCATCTTGATTTCTTCATTTATGAAGTAATCATTTAGTAGAGGTTGTTAATTCCACGTTTTGTGTAGAAATGTGTGTTTCTTTAGGGTTGATTTCTACTTTTATTCCACTGTGATCTGAGAAGGTACGTATGATTCTATTTTTTTAAATTTCTTGAGATTTACTTTGTGTCCTAGGATATGGTCAATCTTAGAGAATGTGCCGTTAGCTGATGAGAAGAACGTATATTCAGTGTTTGTGGTAGAATGTCCTGTAGATGTCAGTCAGACCCAGTTGTTCCAAGGTTTTGTTTAAGTCCATTATTCTTTATTAATTTTCTGTTTGGAGGATCTCTCGTGCTCAGTGGGGTGTTGAAATCTCCGGTGATTATGGAGTTGCTATTAATCAATTGCTTAGGTCCAGTAAGGTTTGCTTTATGAAACTGGGTGCACTAAGTTGGGGCATATATATTTAAAATTGTTATCTCTTCTTTTGTACTGTGCCCCACCATTATATAATGACCCCTTTTGCTTGCACTACTTGTTGGTTTAAAAACTAAATCGTCTGAAATTAGAACTGCCACACCAACCTTCTTTTGGTTTATACTTGCCTGGAATACTGATCTCCACCCTTTTACTTTTAGTCTATATGCATCCTTGCAGGTTAGATGTGTTTCCTGAAGACAGCATATACTTGGCCTGTATTTCTTATCCATTCAGCCAGCCTATGTCTCTTGAGTGGAGAGTTTAAGCCATTCACATTTATTGAGAGAACTGATAGGTAAGGTAGATTACTGTTCATTCTGTTGGGTTGGATGTTGTTGCTTTGATTTCTCTCTGAGGCATGTATTATCTGGCCTTTTATACTTTGTGTTTGGTGTTTTATATTCGTGAGTTTTATGATGGTGTTCTGTGCGTAACACTGTTTTGAGTACTTCTTGTAGGCTGGGCTTGTCTTGGTGAATCTCTGAGACTTTGCTTGTCTGAAATGTCTTTATTTCTCCTTCATATATGAACTTAGTTTGCAGGGAATAAGATTCTAGGGTGGGCATGTTTTGTTCAGAAGAGTGAGAATGGGGCCCCAGTCTCTCCTTGCTTGTAAAGTCTCAGTAGAGAAGTCTGGTGTTATTCCAATTGGCTTTCCCTTGTATGTCACTTGCTTCTTTTGTCTTATAGCTCTTAGAAGGGCCTCTTTAGTTGATATTTTGGTCAGTCTGATGACTGCATGTTGTGATGTCTTCCTGTTTGCATTGAATCTCCCAGGGATCCTCTGAGCTTCTTGAACTTGTATATCGAGATTTGAGCAAGGCCTGGAAATTTTCCTCTATCAATATCTTCAAATAGCTTGTCCAACCCTTGGTGTTGTCTCTTCCCTTCTGGTACCCTATGACCTCACATTAGGTTTCTTCACAAATCCCCATCTCTTGTAGGGTTGCTCTTTCTCTTGTTTCTCTGTTCTATCTCTGTGACGGTTTTATTAGTTGGAGGTGTTATCTTCAATCTGTGAGATTCTTTCTTCTGTTATCTACCCTGTTCTTGAGACTTCCACTGTA